ACAGCAATGTATGCGAGTTGAATACTAGTCAGTCATCTTTACCACTCGTGGAGGATTCCTGACGAGGATTAATTGGAATCTCTCACCGGCCAAAGCAAAGGGAATTCAGCCAAATTTAATTGTTCCAGGAAGTAACCCCATTGACAAGAAACTTGTATGAGCAGAATAACTTCAGAAGTGGAATAACATTCAGGACAATATCGCATTGTTTTCCTTTTATCAGGAGTTCAAATATTATGTGGACGAAGTCCTTTCAAGGTAAGATTTCAGTTGTGTGTGTGTGTGTGCGTGTGTGTGTGTGTGTGTGTGTCAGTATTTTTAGAAAGGGAAAATATCACTGTACATATTTGCATAGCCAAACTGTTTGTCATTCATCTATCCATCATTGTTTGAGTAATTTTGTTTTGGCCATAAACATGTTATTTCAGCAGATTGAAGAAAATTGTCTGAATGGTTCCTAACACTGACACTGACCCGGTCTGAGACTTAAATCATTGGCCACATCACCAAACTAATTACGTTTAAACTTGTTGTGACCAGTGGAGGAGTGAGACTAGAAAAGGAAACAGTGACTCGACAAGCCAGGAAACTGTAGACCAGTAGACCAGACATGAGTAGTGCTAAGTTGTTGGAGGCCATTCTGAGGGATAGGATTTACATGCATTTGGAAAGGCAAACATTGATTAGGGATAGTCAACATGGCTTTGTGCAGTGGAAATCACGTCTCACTAACTTGATTGAGTATTTTGAAGAGGTGATAAAGAATATTGATGAAGGCCGTGTGGGAAACGTTGTCTATATGAACTTCAGCAAGGCATTTTATATGTTTTAGAATGGTGGACAGATTAGTTGTGGTAGGTGACTTGGGATCCAGGGGGAGCTGCCAAATGAATTTAAAATTGGTTTGAAGGTAGAGGATTGTCTTCCATACTGGAAGCCTGTGACCAGCGGTGTACTGCAAGAATCAGTGCTGAATTCACTGCTTTTGTTTATTTATATAAAGAAGTTAGATGTGAATATCAGAGGCATATTTATTAAAGTTAGAGATGACATCAAAAAAATGGTTTAGTGGGCAGAGATGAAGATTATCTCAGAGTACAATGGGACATTGATCAGATGGGCCAAGGGGCCAAGGATTTACAGATGGAGTTTAATTTCGATCAATGTGAAGTTTTGCTTTTGGTAAGGTAAAGCAGGACAGGAAATATGCAGTTAATGGTGCGGTCCTGGGAAGTGTTGCTGAACAAAGAGAACTTGGGGTGCAAGTGTCTAGTTCCTCGAAAGTGGAGTAGCAGGTAGTCAGCATAGTGAAGACCACATATGGCACGCTTGCCTTAAGCAGTCAGAGCATTGAGTGTAAGAATTGGAATGGCATGTTTCACCTGTACCAAACGTTGGTGAGGCCACTTTAAGAATACTGCGTGCATTTCGGTTGGCTCTGCTAAAGGAAAGAAGTTGTTAAACTTAAGAGGGTGCAGAAAAGATTTAGAAGAATGTTCAGGAATTGGAGGGTTTGAGCTGCAGGGAGAGATAAATAAGTTGAGCCTTTTTCACCTGGAGTGTCGGAGGCTGAGGTGTGACATAGTCGAGGTTTATGAAATCATGAGGGACATGGATAGTTTGAAAAGCTAAGGTCTGTTTCCCAGGATAGGGGTGTCCAAAAGTAAATGGCATAGGTTGAAGGTGAGAAGGGGAAAGATTTAGAAGAGACCTTAGGGGGGCAATCTTTTCACACAGTGAGTGGTGCGTATGTGGAAAGTGCTGTCAGATGAAGTGGTGAAGCGCATACAATTACACATTTAAAAAGTATTTGGATTTGTACATGAATAGGAGGGGTTTAGAGGGATATGGACCAAATGCTGGCAAATGAGAATAGATCAGATTAGATATCTGGTCGGCGTAGACAAGTTGGACTAAAGGGTCTGTTTCCGTGTTGTATGACTTTCTGATTCTATAAGATGGACCAGAAGAAATTCTCAAACTTTTTGGAGTAGAAATTTCTTCCCCAGAAGTCTAAAGTGCCTTCCTGTTTACATTTAGTCAAATCTGAGTTAGTAAAATATTTGACAGACATTAACCAAAACACAGTTTACTTAAACCCCATAGTTAAGATACAATCAAAGAAAGAGGAATTTAGAATAAGCTACGTCTATTGAAAATTTAATAGCATAATAATTACAGCAACTATTACGAATTAATTGTTCCAATACAGTAACACCCTGTAAACACACCATTTGGCCAAAAAGAAAACTCAGACATACATTATTACATGCAGTCCTCCAATCTAGGAGGGAAAAATTTCCAGAGAAAATTCAGCTGCCAGGAGACATTCACTGAAGTTTCCAATTCTGTTCAGTCCCCAATGGCTTCTGATGCCACTGAAAAACCAAAACCCAGAAATCCTAAAGGAAGGTTTTGTAGCTGCTGTCAGGATTGGGAACAACATGATGTTCAGTGCAGGGCTACACAATAACGTGGGAAGAGTTCATTCTGAGCCTGAACCTCTCGTTCAATCGACTTGTGGCTCCACAGAGGCACATAAACTAATAGAAATGTCATATCCTGGGTAAAATATGGAATTTCTAACCCTATTATTGTTTTCCGTGTGCATAAGCGATTGTGGCCAAAAGTCAGGTTTTAATGCAATCATCTGATATTCTCTCACAGCACTACAGATTAAACACTCAGTTTCTTCATTCTCTCCTCATGGTACCATCATCTCAAGGATTGGACTGGTGATACTCATTTGTACTGTGTCTGAAGCAAGGAGATCATTTCACACAAAGGAGATCAAATCTGTGCACAATGCCCCTAAATACTCTACCACCAAGACTCTACAATTGCAGAAAGATTGTTTTACTCGTGTAACTGAATCATCTTACAATGAAGGATAACATACCATTTACTGCCCTCATTACTGACACCCCTCTATGTACTATTTTTGCTGACTCATGATCAAGGACATGCAGGTCATTTTGGACAACAACTCTTCCCAACATCGCACCAGTTAATCAAAACAAAATGAAATATATGCTATTGGCTGACCACATCCAAATCATTTGTATGTCTTTCAAATTGTGTGATCCAAACACTGATACATGTGATACTGAAATGAACAACTTCCTTCAGTCCTGTAAAAAACCCTCGTCTCTGTGTTGTCTCAATTAAACAACTCTCAATCCATTTAGTATATTCCCCCTTACCACTGGACTCCCAACTATATTCACTCACCTGTGTACAGCCATATCAAAAGTATTCTCAAATTCAGATACACCACTCCCACTGGTTCATATTTGCGAATGGCTCAACTATTCTGAACTTCTTACTCAGTCACACATATACTGTGCAAAGGACCACAACACATGGGAATTGCCAAAACAAACAGGGAAGTGCATCTACTTCTGTCGATAATTTAGTTTCCTCTATTTTCACATCTCCTCTTCCATATTCTCTCTGTATCTCTCGCTCTCTCTCTCTCATACATATATTACATATGTCTAGTTAATAAATCTAACAAACGTTCTCCATGTCCCCATTCTCAAATCTCCCTCTTTCAGTTTAAATCTATTGCTCATCTTCAGATGTGACACGATTATAATTGAATAATGTAACTCCAAAGGCATGAGCTAGGAACTGGCCAGAGTTAATTGGAAAGGAAGCTTAGCAGGAAAACGGTGAAGCAGCAATGGCAGGAATTTCTGGCAATATTTCGGACGCACATATGAAATTTGTGAATGCCTCAATTAACTCAAATTCCACAGGTTTATGAAAGATGATTTCCTTTTCCTGAATCTTAGTTGATTCTGTCAAGTCATATCAGGATTTTCCAATTGCCTAGTTTTCACAATCTACATAACATATTCCAATATTTTCCTCATAACTGACACCAAGTTGTTCACTATTTAGGTTTTTTTTCGTTTTCCTCCTCATTCCAGTTTTTATTTTATTACAACACCGACTTTCCAGTCTGCAGGAACCAGAATTTCCAGAATCTAAAGAATTATTTCTCGTAATTGCAAAATTTAAAAGACATTTGGATAAGTTCATGAACAAGAAACATTTGGAAGGATATGTGCCACGGCAGGTGGGACTAGATTAATTTGGGATTATATTTGACGTGGATTGATTGGACTGAAGAGCTGTATGACTCTGTAAATCTTTCACTAGCTCTATTGCCACCTCCATGAATACTCTGAGATGGAAGTGCAGCAACGTACCAAACTTCAATTCAATTCGTTTTTTGAGTAATTCCTCTTTATTATTTATAATCTCCCACAGTTTCTCATTTTCATCAGCCACTCTGTCCCATAGAATTTCTGGAAGATTTTCTGTGTCTTCCTCTGTGAAGACAGAACTAACGTATTCCGCTCAACAGCGGGTTCGTGGGGTTTAGGTGAAGAGAGATGGCCTCTGTCACTGAGTGAATACATTGGAGCACTGCAGTTCGGAGATGATGGACATGACACCCACTCCTGCTTGGAAAGTTCCAGAATCTAACCCGTTCAACGAAATTGTCATTTCATGGCCATCGACGGGTTATGCTGAAACCAATAAGACAAAGCTGGAACCACCTCATTTTAGAATCAAACTGGCCTCACACTTTGAAACTGGCATAGGTCCAGACAGAGACAAGAATAAGTATACAATCAAAATACTTGTAACGAAGAGTGGCCAGAAGAGAACTGCAACTAAAAAGGTCGAGATGATGATTTATTCAGAAACAGCACTGAGGCAGAAGACTGGGGATATTATTGTTGATAGAGGGAATATTGTGATATAAGTCAGCTCAGGACGAAATGGGGCAATGGTGGTATGAATACTTCTGTTCTTCCTCAGATGTTTGTAAGTGAAGAACATGAAAGCCATGGAATAAGAATAGAGTTTGTAATTGAAAGTGAATACAATAGTTGACATTTTTGCCAAGTATAGATCACAGAAATAGAGATGCTGTTCGCAATGGTTTACAGAATTAATTCATGGACAGAAGTGGAGAGACTTACCGGGAACACCAACAATAGCGAGGACAGGATAGTAACCTGCCTGAATAATCAGCAGTACATTGTATATCCGGATTGTTACTGGAATTCGATCGAAACGAAGCCTCGAAAGACCACTGGATAAACTCCTGTCTATTGTTGGAACATTCCAATTTAATACTCTTAGATTCTGGTACATTGTTGTAACATTCCCGTCTGTGGTTCTGAGATTCTGATCCATTACTGGAATATTCAAGTCTAATGTTCTCAGATTCTGATCCATAATTGGAACATCCCAATCTGCTGTGCACAGATTCTGATCTCTCCCTCTCTCTGGAGCTGCTGATTCTAATCGTGTTGAGGTTGGCCCTGCTGCTGAAACTATGGAATAACTTGAAAGAAGCTCGTTATTAATAGAAGAGGAAACCCTTCTGCAACACAGATCGGATCCATTGAGACTGATATTAATCCGAATCGCTGAACAAACAGTTCCAGTTAACCCATTTCACGATAAAACTTTTAATGTAACAACAACCTGGTCTAGGAGGAATCTTGACATCATCTGCTATTGGTCTTGTTGCCAATCTCCAATTACCCTGATAATGTCAGCAAATAAGCTTGTAGTGCAGATTGAAATTGGCAGGTACAATGTATTACAGAGACATGGCTGTAAGGATCAGGGCTGTTCACTATTTAGACATAACAGGAACTGCAGATGCTGGAGAAGGGTCTAGGCCCAAAACATCAGCCTTCCTGCTCCTCTGATGCTGCTTGGCCTGCTGTGTTCATCCAGTTCAACACCTTGTTATCTCATGGCAACGGTTCCCATTGTCAGGAGAAACTGCTTTTATTGCACATAAAGCTGCCTTTTGCCGGGGAACCGTGTGTATGGCGACAGAGCGTGGACATGAAGGAGACGGAGTGCATATAATCCTGAGGCCTCTGTCACTCTCCGGGAGATATCTGTGTATCTTCCTCTGTGGCTTAACATGTGGATGATTACTTCAAGGGGGCTTTAACACAGTTTTATCATCGCATACTTGAGTCCCATTCGTTGATTACAGGGATAATCTCATTGAAATTTGCATTCGAAAATTAAAACACCAAAGACGCTGGGCCAAATGCTGAAAACTGGGACGAGAATAGATGGATGCCTGATGACACGCACTGACGCGGTGGCCGAATGGTCTTTTTCCACACTATAAAAACTCGAAGACGGGGAGAAACTGATCTGCAGCCAAAATGAGCAATACAATGAAAAGGCTAAAGCAGTGTCATTGAGAAAAGACGGCAACAGGCTGAATGCCTTCCATGGTGGTCTAGTAGTTAGGATTTGGTGTCCTCACCGCTGCGGCCTGGGTTTGATTCCCAGTCAGGGAACTTATTCTGTTCTGTGCAAGATTTTCATGATCACAGCACTGCTGACTAATTTTTAAAAGCAGGAAAGGCACTTTTAGGTAATCTATTTTATCCCAAACGACAATCGAGCTAACATGTAACAAAGAACTAAGAATGCTGGAAATCTGAAACCAGAAAAAAACGAATCGACAGACAATCGCAGAAGGTGTGGCAATATCCGTGGAGAGAAACAAAGTTAACGCTTCAGATCTACTGAGGGTTCATCAGAAACAGGTTAGTTATGCACTTCCATATTATTATGTCGGGGAAATTATCGCTTTTATCTGTTGAATCAACATATTTATCAAAATATCTCATTAGGTTCCAAACGTCAACATTACAACGTTAAAATGACTTTATCGGCTCTAATGCTGCTTCTGTTGTCCTGAGGTGGGGAAAGGTTCTGCATTTTCCTTTCCTGTTCTTCAGTTAGCAGCCATGTCGAATGGAGAATTGGTTCCTTTCAGTGTCTGCCTCAATATGTGTCTCTACTTGTCTCATATTGTCTCTTTGTATCCATCTCATCCCCTTTCGCGTTCTCCCACTCTCCGTCTGTCCATATCCCTCATTTCCGATTTCTGCTCTTTGAAAAGTCAAAAATTCGGAGAGTGTTTGAGAGTGGAGGTGCTGAGAGGTTTCCCCTCCTCTCCCCCCTCACTCCCGGCCGATAGTAAAGTCTAGGACTGGGCTAATATTATTCGGATAATGTGTGTGTCCCTTAGGCCTGAGGAAAGGAGACATTTCTTCCGTCAAAATATGATGATCTGTTAGACTTGGAAATAGAATTCCCAATCCACTAGCGAAGGAAAAAAAAAGCAAATCCACCACAATCATATGATTACATTGATGTCTCTCCTCTCGGTGTAAGGTGAATGAATGTAGACAGCAGTGAATGAACATGATCAGCTCGTCGTGTCTGTGCCATTACCACTACATTCCCCAATAAGGCTGCAGTATATCTTGCCTCAGAATGTTATTATCCCAAACTCCAGCAAGATACGCTGAGTTCTGTCCATCAACATCGCTGTTTGGGTCAACAATATAACATTTGGGAGAGGTTTAAGCGAGGAATGGTGGACATTAAGCACAGACACCGCTGGGATTCGAACCCAGGATTCCCTGCTTACTTACAGGCACTACACCCAACTAAGGCACCGGGACACAGCCCGCTGCTTGTTTTCCCCCCATCGATATATGCATTTCACTAAAAATGCAATCAGTAACGCTTTTTCGTTACTGAATGTTCTCCTCTGAAAATGCACAGAAAGAGACAATATCCTGTAGCATTGGTTTAAAACAGATAATTCCACCTGATTGAGGGAAGAAATGTGTCCTTTAACATATTGAAGGAAGAAATGTCTCCTTTCCTTTGGCCTAAGGGACAGACACAATGTCCGAATAATATTAGCCCAGTTCTACAGCCAGCCGGGGGAAAAGCCTCTCAGCACCTTCAGTCTCAAACACTCTCCGAATTTCAGACTTTTCAAATAGCAGAAATGGTAAATGCCGGATATGTTCAGATGGAGAGTGTGAAAAATCGAAAGGTGCTGAAGTGGATACACAAAGACAAAGACAGACAAATTGAGACAAATATTGAGGTAGACTTTGAAAGGACCAATTCTTCATTCGGCATGGCTACTAAGGGACAGGAAAGGAAAGGAAAAGACAACAATTTAAGCAGAACCTGTCCCACCTCAGGGCAATGGAAGCAGCATCAGAGCCAATAATTTCCTTTTAAAGATGTCAAGTTAACGGTTGGAAACTGAGGAGATATTTTGATAAACATGCTGATTCGACAGATAAAGTGATTATTTCCCCGCTTGACAAGGTAGAAGTGCATAACTAACCTAGTTCTGACGAACGATCAGTGGATTTGCAGCGTTAACTCTGTTGCTCTCCACAGATGCTGCCACACCCGCTGAGGTTGTCTTATCACTTCATGTTTTTGTTTCAGATTTTCAGCACCCACAGTTCATTGTTACATGTTGGCTTCAATATCGTTTGGGATGAAATAGGTTACCTCGCAGTCTTTTCCTGCTTCTGAAAATTATTCAGCAGTGCTGTGGTCACGAAAAACGAGCAGACGACAACGTGCATTCCCTGACTGGGAATCAAACACACGCCACAGCGGTGAGAGCACCGAATCCTAACCACCAGACCACCAGGGAAGCCGTTGAAAAAGCTGGCATCTTTTATCAGTGACACTGTTTTTGCCTTTTCATTTTTTGCTCATGTTGACTGCAGATCAGTTTCTACCTGTCTTCGAGATTTTATGGCGTAGAAGTAAGACCATTTGGCTCATCATGTCAGTGCGTGTCATCAGGCATCAATCTAGTCTAGTTCCATTTTCCAGAATTTGGCCCACCGTCTTGCGTGATGTTTTGAGTGTAAATATCAATGAGATTATCACTCTAATCAACGAATGGGACTGAGGCTTCTTGGTAGTACAACTGTGTTACAACCCACTTGAGGAACTCATCCTCATTCTTAGCCGCAGAGGGAGACACACAGACACATCCGAGGGTGACAGAGGCCTCAGGACTATGCCCGCTCCATGTGCTTCACGTTCACTCTCCGACCCCACACATGTTTCCCAGATAAAAGGCTGCTTTACGTGGAACACAAGAAATTTTCCCAGACAATGTGAACTGGTGTTGTGAGCTCGGATTTGAAACGGACTGTGAGCTGAAAAGGTCCCATAGGCTGCTTATGTGCAACTTTTAATTTCCAATTACTTCCACTCCTGGGAATCTGACAACAAAAACGCCCGTCACACATTCCTCTTTGGAAGCACGTGTCGAAAAACTGCCGGCTGCGCTCCACCCAAGTAGGACTTAAACATACAATCGTCTGATCTGAAGTCAGACGCGTTATCCATTATGCCACAGGCCCAATACACAGGCCCATGCACTACATCTTGTCAAGTTATGATGTTAACAGGGACCAAAGGAGAAATGTTATTCTCGAGGTGAGCATCAGCATAGGTAATCGCCATCACTGCTTCACTTCAACGAAGCCCTGCTTTGTGAAGCTGTGAATTTCCTTGTCAAATGGAGCACATTTGTCCTCAGGTGCCTGCTTCGCTGTCGCCTGTTTCTCTGCTGGAACTTGCCATCGTTTTATTCACAGTCACTGCGCTAGTTTATGACCCAATCCAGTGAAACGTACTTTCATGCTTTGAATCATGGTCTGTTCGAGTCAAGGCAGTGAACAAATTCAGTGAGAAACCTTCGGATATTTCTAGCCACAGCTCTGGAAATGGGTGAGTTGAACGATGCCTTTAATCGGGTAGCCCCTTCACCGCAGCTCAGTGCCTCAAAACAAGCTCCTGTTAGCATCAGATTGTTTGTACCTTGCTGCAGTACACCTACTGAACAACTTCAGATGATCACAGCTCCGCTTTCTTCACATTGAAACTCAGGGCGACAATACGAACTGTTTCGAAGATTAGATAGAGAAATGTTTCTGCTGAAGTTGGTTCTGATGTGGAGAATGGACCGAGAACGTGTGCAAGGCAGGTCTCAAGGGTTACTGTCAGTACATCTCATGTTCCAGTGGTAAGGATTCAGAGCTTGCATCGCCCAGCCTTTGATGCAATTATTTCAGGAAATAAAAATGTTTTTCTCTTGTGCGAATTACCCAAATAAAAACGATTTCCTGGTCCCACAAAGAATACACTCTGAATCGGCCAGAATCAGTCCAGTGAGAGTTTGCTTCTATCTAGAAGGGTAATGACAGCAGATACATGAGAAAACGACGATTCACATTGCCCCCTCTAAGCATCTCACCATCCTCAGTTGG